ATGACAGAATCTAGTGGAAGTCTAGAGCACTGTGGTGAATAAAAGTTCTTCTTGAATGGCCATTTAACAGCCAGAAGGCAGACTCTCCATTTCCAATTAAGGATGGCAGATGGCTCTTGAAACTCGATGGCAAATAAGCCCTCCAGTACAGAAGAAGCAAAAGGCTCCATTTTCAGTTGTGAGAAAATGGGCATCCCATCATCAGAAACATTCTCTCTCCAATTTTTTTAAACTTTAAAATTTATAAGAAATGCCTTTGGTAGCCAAGCCACCATTGTGGAAGGGGACACCTACCCCAGGGCCACCATCAGCTGTACTTGAAGCCAGGCAAGTAAGCAGAGACTGAAAGCCTTCTTGGAACACTGCCCCTGCTAGTCTGCCACTGGAGGGGCAGCAACTCCGGCAATTGGGGGATTCCCTCATGCCTTGGATACTAAAAGGAAAATTCTAGTCAAGTATCTGATAATGTGTTGGAATAGTTCTTTAAACAGCCATAATTGACCATGCAGCATGCCTGGGATGGGATTTTGGGTTCCTGGATTGTGCCAGGAAACCAGCATGCCAGCCAGTGGTGTGTAATATGACAAAGTTCGCAGGTGATACTAAAATAGGTAGGAAAGCAGGCAGTAATGAGGAGATAAAATAGTTTACAGATGGATATTGATAAGCTAGGAGAATGGGCCAAAATCTGGCAGATGGAGTTTAATGTGGATAAGTGCAAGATTGTCCATTTTAACTAGAAAAATAGAAGGGCAAATTTATTATTTAAATGGAAAGCAGACTCAAAGTGTGTCAATGCAGAGGGATCTGGATGTCTTTGTGCTTGAATCACAAGACGTGGGTATGTTAGTGCAGTATATAATAAGAAAGACAAGTAGAATCCTGACATTTATTGTAAAAGGACGAACTATAAAAGTAAAAAAGTGTTGTTACAATTATGGGCAGTTTTGGTCTCCTTGCTTGAGGGAGGATATTTTGGCACTGTAGGCAGTTCAGAGGAGGTTCACCGGGTTGATTCCAGAGATGAAAGGGCTGTTATATGAGGAGCAGTTGAATAATTTGTGCTAGTATTGGTGGAATTCAGAAGAATGAGGGGGGATCTGATTGAGGTATATAAAGTGTTAAAGGGGATTGATAAGGTAGATGTTGAACAGATATTCCCCCTTGTGGGACAGTCTCAAACAACACGTCATAAAGTGAGAGGAGGTAGGTTCAAAACAAATGAGGAGAAACTACGTCTCTCAGAAGTTTGGGAATCTGTGGAACTCACTGCCCCACAATGCAGTGGACACAGAATCAATCAACAGATTCAAGAAAGAAATAGATATGTTTCTGATGAAAAGCAGAATGAATGGGGAGCAGGCAGGAAAGTGGAGTTGAGACCAGGATAAGATCAGACACGATCATGTTAAATAGCGGAATGGGCACAAAGGGCTGAATTGCCTATTCCTGCTCCTAATTCCTATGAAATTTCATGCCTGCCTTTCTCCATGCTTGCTGTCTTAAAAAAAATTAGCCTTGGGGTTTACATGAACAACGAACACCAGGACTGGATTTTCATCAAGGAGACGTGAAGCAAGAGAAATTTTACAACTGTGCATTTCTGCCTTTGTCCTGGAGGAGCTGCCTATCCTGTTTTCACATTGGACTGGACATAACCCTACTGCCAGGAGTAATGGATGCAGGCATTTGGTGAGACCAGGTTAGAAGGCCCTCCATTTACTGGTACAGTAGCTCAGTTGTACACATGGTTGTTAGATCCTCATCTCTTGCCTCTTCCTTCCATGCTCCTACAAATGCCCACTCATCCATTATGGAGTGGTAGACAACCAAACAATCTGCTATGGTAACAATGTTTAAAATATTCATGAAATAAAAGAACACTACTCAACATTATCTATGAACAACACTGCCATCTTACTTTTCCATAAACCTGCCAATCAAACATAAACATTGCATATCATTTTGAAGAAACTTTTAATTGACTTCACATCATTTTTTGTTGTGCAAAAATATACTTGGGCTTTTTAAAAACAAGCTCAAAGTAAGACCAAGTTATTATGAGATAATGTCAATTAAACAAAACTAGCATTCCCCTCTTGGGCCAAGTCCCATTAATCATTCTTGGATCTCAGACAAGCATTCATAATGAGAACATCTGGTAAATCAGATGCCTGGCCATCTGTTCCACCTCGTTTTGCTGATATGGTTGCAGGCGGTATGTAGAGTGGGGAGGAAGTGAGGGTTTGATAGACTGACATTGTTACAATTGGGCCAATGTCCTAGTAAATGAGGGCAGCCATTCAAATTTGCCAGCCTTCCATCCATCTGCCTCTGCTTTGAGGATGCTCACATCTCATGCCAACTCAGTGAAATAGAGATATGACAGGTGGGGATGTCCTTCCTGATAATTCAGCCCAACATTTCAGGTGGATGATCTTTCTCAAGTTAAAGGTCATCAGACTGAAATGTTGATTTTTTTTTTCTTTTCTCAGATGCTGCCAGATGTGTGAGTATTTCCTATTTTTATTACTAATCCAAATTGCTCTGATCAGGGCAGTAGTCTTTTGTCTCCTTTGGTTCATATGTTTATTTACTTGCCTTGCCAAAATGCATTAGTTTTTGTCTGAACTATTCCTGTTGTGAAAACATCATATTTTGACAGCTCTCTGTTAAAGAAGTTTCTTTAAACAGATTTCTTCACTCTTTACTGATTCCCCAAACAAAATAAATAGTATTTCCCTATTCACCTAATTAAAACCTGTTTTAAAACAATATAGTTTTTTCTTAACCTTCTTTATTTCATGGGAAATAGTCCTAGAATGTCAAGTCTCACTTCATTACTAGTTGAAATCAACCTGCTAAAACTACATTGGACAGACTAGCTTTAATGACCTTTCCATAATAGGTTACTCTAAATGTAGATACCCTGTCATAATTGTTACCTTGTGCAAATAATCTTTTTACATTCCAATACACTTTTTTAATGTCTATATTTGCAAAACCAGTATTATTACTGGTTTTCATGACGATTTGACCCGCATGGTCATGTGTAAGGACCCAAAATGAGTCCATGCAGAAAACCCCAGTGATGTAGACACCACTCCTAACTGAATCAGAAGGTTGATCAGAGTTGGCAACATATTCTAGGCCAACATTTCACTGCTATACTGAGGGAGTACTGTATTGTTGGACGTACTGTGTTCTGAGTAAGGTGTTTGCTTGTACATGTGAGCATAATATGTCTCATGAAACCATCCTAGGAAATGTAAAGATTTTCTCCAAGTGTCCTAGTCAGCCTATTATCCCTCAACCAACAATAAAAACATTAATTTGCCACTTGGCTCATTGCTGGATGTGAAGTCTTGCTGTGAGCAAATTAGCTGCCATGTTTCGTTACATTACAACAGTGGGTTCACTTCAAAGGTAATTTATTGGCTGTGAAGCATGTTGGGACATCCTGATGGGGTACTGTATAAACTTATGTTCTTTTCTCTAGCCGATAGATTAACTGATTTATATTTGCTCGTATTTTCCTGACTTCTTGAATATTGCTTGCAAAGTCTCCTCTTCAGTCCAGGAGTATCTTAAACAAAGTCTGTCAGCTTAACAGAGGCTTGAAGCAGACCTTGAGCCTTCCATTTTTGTCTTGCTCATTTCCATAGTGTATGTTCCCGTACACAGGAACAACTGAGGGAACTTCTAACAGTCTATATTTAAGTTAATTCAGAACATAAATTCAGGGATCCAAAAATTTGATCACCCTGAACATAACCCAGCTTCATATAATACATGATGTATGCATACAGTAATAGCATAAGTTGTAATTGATTACACCAGCAATATATCAGTCAAGGTTCAGTTATTTGGTTAAAGTCTTCAATTTTTTTAATCTGATTGTTTCAAATGAAATCTTGATTTTATCTTTTTAAAATCACTCTTCTGATTAAAAATGGCATTTGAGTGAATTATTCTCTTTAGAATATTTCCATTTTAAGTGCTGTTTCTCACGGGTTTTTAAATTACATATTCTCTTTAGTTTTGCAGTTGTTGTAATATACTGCAGTGCAGTGCATTCATTTTATATTTTCAGGTAATTACTGTGAATGTGATTTGAGAGTTTCTTCTCGTCATATTTTATGCTGACTCATTTAGGGGTTATGAGTTACAATGATGTATATTCCTCCAAATGATTGGTAAATTTTGCAACAGGTATAGTTCAATTGAAGTCTGTCTTGAATAAAATTAGCTTCATTTGAATAAAAGTAAAGTAGAGAGGAGGATATAAAAAGATCTTAAAGTGTGCAGTCATATTTTTCAGAAAAAAAACATGACAAAGCAGTCACCTATGAGACTCCTCTGACCAGAAATAAAAGACTCTGAAATACGTACAGTAATTAAATGCACAAAAGCAAGAAATGTGAAGAATTACTCACTAATTTATCTTAACACCTTGTCAGAGTCAAACGTAAGAGATAAGTAAGAATTTGGAGAGACAGTGGCAATGTTATTGGACTAGTAATCCAGAAGAAAATGCTCTTCAGACATCGATTCAAATCCCAAATCTTAATTCTGGAATATAAAACTAGTCTAAGTAACAGTGACTATGAAAACATTGATTGTTGTAAAACCCATTTAGTTCACTAAACCCTTTAGGAAAGGAAACCTGCTGGCCTTACCAGACTTGCCAATATCCCACGAAAACAGAAAAAGTTCCTTTTTGAGGAAGGGTCACCGGGCCCGAAACGTTAACTCTGTTTTCTCCTTCACAGATGCTGCCAGACCTGCTAAGCTTTTCCAGCAACTTTGTTTTTGTTCCTGATTTACAGCATCAGCAGTTCTTTCAGTTTTTATTAAACATCCTTTTTGGATGGAACGTCATGTAACCTGAATATTTTTAACTTACCCATTTCTAGTATTCACCAGAAAATAAAAATAAAATCACAATGTCATGAGAATATTTTGTTTTTTTTTAATTTCTAAATAATATTAACCTGCAGGAAATGAAGGTTCTGGAGAAACCATTCTGAAGAAAACCTCATCATGTGATATTTGCCAATTTGGAGCAGAATGCGATGAAGATGCAGAAGATGTTTGGTAAATGTATTACTTAATGGCAAATATTAATTGTTGTTAACATCTACAAACTGTAAATGCAACAGCATCACTGGCACACTTTATTAATTAGAAGTTCTTATCTTAGTGAGTCAACTGAGACTTTTACGACCTGGATTTAAATTCAGGCCCTCTAATAAGATGAAAGTCCATCTATCTCGCAACTTTGAATCTTCGTGGAAGTCTGGCCTCTGTTCTCAGCAGATGTCTTAACCTGCATCCAGATATTAATATTCAAATTTTAATTCTTAAGGTAGACTAATGTGGGACTTAGGGAGATAACAAGGTGTAGAGCTAGATGAACACAGCAGGCCAAGCAGCATCA